TAAATCAAAACCTGCTCCTGATACCCCATCTCTTGGATTAAGAATGGTTTTCAAATTGCCTACTAAATATTTTGCCCGAGTTTTAACAAACAACATTTAATTGGTTCCCTGAACTGGGTCTCTCAAGGACATTTTTCAGAGGGAGCAGTAAATGCTGGTAAGTACGACACTCTTCTCTGTTCTCCAGGGTCCTGTTTATCATTCAAAGCTGCAAACAAGCAGCCTGTAGAATTAAATTTAAAAAGCAATGAGGAATCAACACTGTGATACCTGAATGTGTCTGCAGAAGTGGGTCCTCCTTTCACTGGCAGAGATCACGATTCATCTGCGTGAGTTCTTATTCATCTTTTCTTGAAGTCTAGCCTGGTGTGAATTTCTGTGACTGTTTCATGGATATTCTGTCAGCATGGAAGTCATCCATCTACCAGCCTTCACTCAGCAAATCCCAGTTTTTCTGTGGGTGCCACACTTGGCATCAGAGACCTGAGTTCTAATCTCTCCTTGGTCAGTTACTAGCTCTGTGACCCTAGGCAAGTTCTTAACCCCTCTATGCCTCAGTTTCCTCAGCTGCAAACAATAGGATTGTTGTGAAAATCAAATGAGGTTATGTGTTTTGCAAACTTTAAGGCGTTATATAAATGCTAATTGTTATTATAATTATTTTCAGGTTGGATCTGTTATCAAGGATATTTTCAATGCCCCCTTTTGCCCACGAGTCATAGATGGTAACAGTCTGCCATCCACTTACGGCCCCATGCATCTCTCCATTATCCTTTGAATTGCTTGTAATTTTAAAAAAAATTATTGATATCTTTCATTTTCTCCCCATCCAGAGAGTCATGCCTTATGACAAAAATAAAGTAAAATACAGAAAAAAGAGGAAAAATCAATAGGGCAAAACTAAGCAACCTATCAACCAAGTCTGACAGAATACATGGAATTTCATGTCCGTGGTCACTTACCGCTGCAAAGAAAGGAGTAACGTGGGCATTCCCATATCTCTTCTTCAAGGTCGGGTTTGATCATCACAGTTTTAAGCACTGTGATTTTTGGCTGTCTCAGTCAATGTGTCTATTGTTTTCCTTGTTCTTGTTTCACTTTGTATCAGTTCAGATAATTCTTTCTATACTGCTCTACATTCTTTCTATTCATCATTTCATACAGTTTACTCTATTACATTTGTTTATTTCCAAGTCAGCTTTATATTATTTCTTTACAGAGCAATCTTCTACTTGCACTGGTCTGACTAGGTATCTCCCCTGCACCCGTATCTGCCTTGGCTCCCCATTGCTTGCCAAATAAAATGTAAACTGACCTCCACCGTCTAGCTGCAGCCTACACTTCCAGCCTTATCTCATACTACGAATTCCTCTTGTGCTCTCTCCATTTCAACTAAGCCAGACTACTCCCTATTTCTAAATTCTGCCCTGTTCTATTTCCAAGCCTTCACCACACACTGTCCTCCACATGTGAAACAGTTCTCCCCTTCCCCATCTCTCCCTGTTGAAATGCCCTTCCTTCAAAATTCAGTTCAGATGTCATCTCCACGAAGCCTTCTCCAATTGCCCATCTATACCTTCTCTCTCCCTTCTTAAATCTCTTTGTGTAGACTGCTCCCAGCATGCACTAATCAACAGAACCATTGGATTTAAACTTAGAAAGGAATTTAGAGGGATTCTAGTTTAATCCTTTCAAAGTTACATATAAAAAGACTGAGGCCTAAGCAGAGGAAGGCATAAGGCCACAAAGATAGCATCAAGTACACAGATTTGAACCCAGGGCATCTGTCTTCAAATCCAGGGTTCTTTGGCAGCATTAGGCTGGCTTTTCAATACTGCCTTGTAAAATTATACTTTCATACTATGATATTCCATTACCTTAGTGTTTTTACAAGTTGTTTAACCATTCCCCAAGTGATAGACAATCAGTTGGCTTTCAGTTCTTTGATAATACATAAAGTGCTACTATAAATATTTTGATGTATGTGGTACTCAGATTCTCTGCCACATACTGACTGGGTGACCTTGGGTAAATCTCCTCACTTCCTGGTGCCCCAGGCAACATTTCAAGGCTGTACATTGCAGAAAAGGTACCAACCTGCATTGGTAGACAGCATTCCTCTCCAAGGGCTCCCTAAACTGAAGAAATCACGGGTCCAGTTTAAACAAACAAACAAAAAAAAAAAAAAGAAGGGGTAGCTAGGTGGCGCTGTAAATACAGCTCTGACTTTGGAGTTAGGAGGACCTGAGTTCAAATCCAGCCTCAGACACTTAACACTTACTAGTTGTGTGACCCTCTGCAAGTCACTTAATCCCGATCACCTCACCAAAAAGCCAAAAAAAAAAAGGCATTTCTAATTCAGCCAATTTGACGTCTCTCATTCCCGACAGATCGATCACTAATGCCTCACTGTAAATGATCTTTTTCAGAAAAGGTTGGCACACCATTGCAGGAAGATTTGCAGATCGAGTGATTAACTCCACAAATGTCCTCAGATCAGGTTTGGTCTACACTAGCCAGACGAGATAACATAATATAGTAAAGAGAGAGCACTAGGCATGGAATTACGAGAGGTCCAGATTGAAATCCTGGCTTCAATACTCCCCAACTATGATGGGTTATTTTATTTCTCAGTTCCTCAGTTTCCTCCCCCATAAAACGAGAATAATACTCACACTATCTAACTCAGAAGTGTCATGGGATCATAAGTCTAAAACTGGGAGAGCCCTCAGAGGTCATCCATTCCAACTTCCCCATTTTGCAGATGAGGAAACTGAGGCTGAGAGAAGTTAACTTAAAATCATAAGATCCTAGATCAGGAGCTGGAAGGAACCTCAGAGGACACCTAGTCCACCACTCCTTATTTTACAGATGAGGAAACTGAGGCCCAGGGAGATTAAGTGAAAATGACAGAGATGGATTTTGAACTCAGGTCTCAAGACTCAAAGTTGAGCACTCTTCCCACCACTCTATTACAGCCCCATTGGGAAAACACTTTGTAAACCTTGTAAATTGCCATAGAAATGGAAGCTGCTGTTACCATTTTGCTTCACACACAGGCATGGTATAGAGCAGCTGAAGACAAAGGACCAACCACAGATCTCCATCCCAAACCAGAGAGGATAAACGTTAAAGAAACAAAAATGGAGGGTTCAAATGAATGTGAACAGTTTATTTGAGACTCAGTAGAAGGAGGACAAGCTGATTTGATGCAGGGGCATACAACCACAATGATGAGATTTGTATCACAGCCTGGATTAGGGGACCGGTCTACACAACTGAAGAGACACCTGAGAAAGAGGGGAGTGAGTGAACCTATCATTGTGAACAGTTCCTTCTAACTAAAGAATCTCATCGTGGCCCTCGATCTGGTTTTCCTTTTATTATTTTTTTTCTTTTTGGTGAGGCATTTGGGGTTAAGTGACTTGCCCAGGGGTCACACGGCTAGTAAGTGTTAAGTGTCTTAGGCTGGATTTGAACTCAGGTCCCCCTGACTCCAAGGCCAGAGCTCTATTCACTGCACCACCTAGCTGCCCCTAAAAATTTTTTTAAGGGTGTCCTTTCAGTCTTCTGAAGAATAGTATTAGCAGTAACCCTCTTCTGATCACACACACACACACACACTACAGCCCGTCTTCCTTCAGAGAAAGCAGAAAGGATCATCCCTGGCTTCAGGATGTTTTCTATCTAAAGGCAGAGAAATAACATTTATCTCCTCAGATGATTTCAATTGCTCTTTGGGCCAGGAATATTTTCTTTACTTTTTTGGAAGGTATAGGTGATACCTAATTGTTACTGAAACTTCTATCTCTCCCTCTCCTGAGGAGATCAGGCCCAAGCAAATCCTGATGAAGACATACTTTCAAACCTAGCAAGAAATGAGGCCAAAACACAGTCCTTCCTATTGCAGCCTTCTTTAAACTTAAATGTAAGCTCCCTGAAGGCAGGTACTCTTCAGGAGTTACTGGTGCCTAGCATAGTGCCTGGCATAAAGTAGACGTTTAATAAATGTTCTTTGGAATAGATGACTGCAGTCACTGCTAATCCCATACACTATTTTCTTATTTGATTAGTATTTGAGACAAACATTGATATGTATAATGGAAACCATACTGGATTAGAAATCCAAAGACTTGGGATCTAGGCCAGCTCTGCCATGTCCTAGCAACGTGACCCTGGGTAAGTCACTATACTTAACCCTCAGTTTCTGTAAGATGGAGACAGAGATGTCCATCCCTGTTTGGTCTACCCCACTGGGTCATCATAGGGTTCCAATGAAGCAACAGATGAAAAGACACTTTGCAAATGGGCCAAACACTAGACAGGAACAATTAATAAAAGAAGGGCGAGGGTTGGCCACACCCATGCAAAGCACAACCTCAATGCTTAGAGTTTCAACAACAGACCACGGTCCTTTTATTCCTCACCAGCAACCTGCAGGGCACTTGATTGAGTAACCTTGGAACAGTGGCATGAGTACATGCCAGAACCTGACCACGAACCTGAGGCTTTGCAGAGAGCCCTACCCTCTGACACTTAATACAGAGACCACACCTGGGCTTCCTTCTGCAGTAAGCAAACAGGGTCATCCTCACAGTACTTTGCATTAGGACTTGAAGAGTCCTGGCAGCCCAGTATAAATGTAAGCTGCTGATTTGACTCGATGGTGTGCCATGTTTGAGCAAGCTGATCAGCTCAGATATCTACCAGCTTCTCCATCGGACAAATTAACCCTTAGCCCCAAAATGCCCAGGAGTTTTGCAAACCGGACTGTTGTCTTTTTTTTTGAGTGTAGTGAAAAATACTTTCAATGGAAAAAACTAATTAGAACTTACTGTTCTGGAGGATAATCGCAGGGAAAAATCTGGCACTGGCAGAGAGGGGAGAAATTAATGCCCTCTACGTTAATGCTATTATAATAGCATTAATGGAGGTTTGCAAAGCACTCTACAAATATTATCTCATTTAATCCTTATGGCAACCCTGGGGAGTAGATACTATTATTTTACAGATGAGGAAGCTGAGGCAGGTGAGGCTGAGAAAGGTAAGGTGATCTGCCCAAGGTCACACAGCTTAGCTGGCACATAAGAGGCATCTAATATATATCTGTTGATTGAATAAATGCTATCTATTCCACTTGACTGGATCTGTGATTTTTTTGAGTGTAGGAACTCTTTTCTACCAATGTAGACCAGTACCTCTTCTACAATTTATAATCTTAGAGAATTCTTGGAGAAATTGATAGATTTTAGTGATTTGCCCAAGGTCACACAGACAGTAGACGGCAGGACGTGAACCCAGGTCTTCCTGACTCCAAAGCCATCATTTTATTCCCTACACCACACAGTCTCTCTTGAAGCCTCATTAGCGAGGGTAATTTTGCATCCTTAACCTACTCAGTCTAAGGAGTAGAAAATAAAAATAAATAATGACCTCTGGGGGAGGACTTGTTATGCAAGTCATTTTTTTATTGATGAAAGTAACACTTATTAATGGTAATATTATGATTATAAAGGATCACAGTTCCGTTCTCAGCCAATTTAAAGAGCATGTCTGGAATATAGAGCATCTATATTTGTTGCAAGAATATGGAATTAAAAAAAAAACCCAGTGATTTCTCAATGAGTCAAAAATCAATCGCCGCCTCATGCAATTTTTTTTAAAAAAAAAAATGAATATTTCAGCAAATAGCTAAGATCCCTTAAGAGGTTTGGTCTTAAAAGTAAGCTGTCATCCCATTTCATCTACAGATAACTAGGAAAAGGAAATGCATTGACACCTGCCTTGCAGAAAAGTCTAAGGGTTCAGCACACTGGATTCTCTGTGACGAAGAGGTGTTTATTCTAACATGTGCTGGAGCACGGAGGGGTCGACGTCCACGGCCACCAGCCCCTTCTGTAAGCTCTGGATAGTCGCCTGGCTCCCGTTCTTCTGCCTCCACTGGACGAAGGCCTCCACGATCTGCGACTGCACGTTGTAGGGGTGGTTGGCCTTGCAGCGGTAGATGTCCCTCTGGGACAGACCCAGGGATAGCACGACAGGCTCCCACTCGGGGCCCAGCCTCCTGGCCAGCTGATTGAGCTGCCGGTCAGAGGGTGAGCTCTTCAGAATGTGGGCGGGAAGCGGAGATGCCTGGGCACCTGGAACAGAAAAGTGAAAAGATGGACAGTGTCAGGGAGAAAAGATGTCCCATCAGGCAACCAGAGCCCAGGAATGTAATTTTCACCCATTTACTGACAGGTTATTTCTTTGTCAATTTAGTGAGGAATCTTTTGGTTTCTGCCTCTATGACATTTCTCCTATCTGATCCCTTCTTTCCATTCACACAACCATTACCCATTTCCAGGTCTTCTCTACCTGTCACCTGGAGAACTGGAATAGACTAATTCATCAGGGAAGCCAAGAGGTGCCACAGTGCACAGAGTACCAGGCCTGAACTCAGAAAGACTCGAGTTCAAATCCCGCCTCAGACACTTACCAGCTATGTGATCCTGGGCAAGTCACTTCACTCTCTTTGCCTCAGTTTCCTCATCTGTCAAATGAGCTAGAGAAAGAAACGGCAAACCACTCCAGTATACTTGCCAAGAAAACCCCAATGGAGATACAAAGAGTTTGACATGACTGAAAATAACTGATCAACAACAACAAACTAATCAGTCTCCCTAATTCTAGCCTCTCCCCCCTCCAATCCATCCTCCATTCAGCTGCCAAAGTGTTATTCCAAAAGTACAAGGCTGACTCAGTCATTCTCCTACTCAGTAAACTCCAGTGACTCCTTGTCACCTCCAGGGTCAAATACAAACTTTTCATTGGGTATTTAGAGCCCTTTCTACCCTTCCAGCCTTACTGTATATTTCTCCCATTCACACACAGCATGGTCCTTTCACACCAGCCTTCTTACTGTTCCTCATCCACGGTGCTCCATCTTGGATCTCTGACTTTTCACAAGCAGTACCCCATGCCTTCTTCACCTCCACCTCAGAGAATCCTTACTTTCCTTCAAGTCTCAGTTTAAGCGTCACCTTTTAAATGAGGCCTTTCTTGATCTTTCCTGATTCCCTCCCCACCTTGCAGGGGTTTCCCCTCCAAATCTCCTGGTATCTACTTAGTATATGCAGCTAAGTTTCCATTAGAACTAGTGAACAAGTGACTGCGTTATTTGAATTTGTGTGATCTGAGGTTTTAATTACATGTAAAACAGAGTAGTATGTTCCAGCCTAATGGAAATTTGTAGGGTAAATTTGGATAATACAACCATTTAATGAGATTCACTGTTTATGCTAATCAGGACCTAGTTGTAAGGGGTGTCCCAAAGGTTTTAGTGTGGCACAAAGATTTTTTTGGAGGGGATGCCCTCTACATCCATGTTACCTCCTCTGGCTAGATTATAAGATCCCCAGGGTCACGGACTGCTTCTCTTTTGTCTTAAAATCTCTGCACCTAGCAAAGTACTTGGAAAACAGTTGGGGCTTAATACACATTTGTTGACTGACTAATAAATGTTCTTGCTTCCTAGGTGATCACGGGTGACCGACAAGCGGTCACACCGCAGCTCTTTCAGTATCCCAGGTTAGAATTCATTTGAGTCGGGAGACTGCTCTCTTCCCACTTCCTCATTTATCTTAGGTTTTTGAGCCTCTGAATTTGGAGTTGGTGCAGTTGGGTTCAAATCTAGGTTCTAACACACTTAGGAGTTGAGTAATAAGGGCAAGCCACTTTCTTTCTCTGAACCTCAGTTTTCCCATCTGCAAAATGGGCACGATCATCCTCACAGTACTTTGCATTAGGACTTGAAGAGTCCTGGCAGCCCAGTATAAATGCAAGCTGCTGATTTGACTCGATGGTGTGCCATGTTTGAGCAAGCTGATCAGCTCAGATATCTACCAGCTTCTCCATCGGACAAATTAACCCTTAGCCCCAAAATGCCCAGGAGTTTTGCAAACTGGGCTGTTGTCTTTGGCTGTCAGGCTGAATGTCTGGAAATAAAAGAAAAACACTTTCAATGGGAAAAACTAATTAGAACTTACTGTTCTGGAGGATAATCGCAGGGAACAATCTGGCACTGGCAGAGAGGGGAGAAGTTAAACTAAGAGGTCTTGCTGAATCTGATTTCCCCCACGTCTACATTGGGAGACCACTATGATAGTCATCGAAATGGCAAATGATGGGATTAGCAGGCCAGGGAAGGACAACAAGGTCTCAGCCCAGTTCAGAGCACAGTGGGAAGCCGTGGGGAGGGAGGGCATGTGGTCCACACTACAGACCATCTTCTTCTCCCTCTGCCCCACAGCCAACCAGTTCTCAAGTCTGTTCAACTCTACCCCCACAAAATCTCGCACATCCATTCTCTGCTCCATCCTCTGCTGGCTTTTAAAGTCTTTATAAGCTGGATCCTTCCTCCCTGCCCAGTCTTCTTACACCGTGCTCCCCTCCATGTACTGTGTGATCCAGTGACAGTGATTTTCTTGTTCTTTCACACCTCTCTCTCTCTGTCTCTCTGTCTCTGTCTCTCTGTGTTTCTCTCTCTCTTTCCCTCCAAACTTCCTTCAGATCTCAGCTAAAATCCTACCTTCTATGCGAAGTCTTTCCTGATCTCCCATGAATGCTAGTGTCTTCCTCTCAGATAATTTACAAATCATCTTCTCCTCACCTTGGTTGCACATAATCATTTGCATGTTGTCTCCCCATTAGGCTGTGAATTCCTTGAGAGCAGGGCATGTAAGTTTTTATTTAATTTTTTTCTTATCTCCAGCATTTCACACAGTGTCTGGCATACAATAGGTGCTTAATAAGTGCTTACTGACTTGCCTTGTTCAGGCTTTCATCATCTCTTACCTGAACTATTAGAATTAGCCTCCTAATTGGTCTTCCCATCTGCCAGCCTCTCTCCCTCTCCAATCCGCCCTCCACAAAGCTACCAGAATGATACTCCTAAAGGACAAGTCTGACCGTGTCACTCTTCTCCCAAGTAAGCCTCCATGGCTCCCTACTGCTCCTGGGGAAAATTACCAAGTCCTCTGCTTAGCATTTACAGACTTCACAATCGAACTTTAGCCTCACTTTCCAGACTGATTTCAAATGACTTGTCTTCATGCACTCTCTGATCCAGCCAAACTGGCCTGTGTGATACCTCCCTTTATGCAGGTGTGTGCTGAAGGCAGCTCAGATGAGCTGTTAAATTTTCTGTGTGAGCATCTGCACCTCAGAAAGGAGCAAACTTTGCAAAGCAGGGCTGGAGAGATTGTTTTATTGATTGTCGAGACTTAAGACAGTGATGGAAGAAGTATTAATGGTGCAGATTAAACTTTAAAATGTGTGGAAGGGACTTTTTTTTTGAGAATCAGTTGTTAAATATTTACCAGCACACTGCAGCTTTTATATATAAATATACATACACATACGTGCATATATGTATAGGTGTGTATGCAATCTCCCACCTCCATGCCTTTGTAAGACTGCCACTCATGTCTGATATATTTATAGACACATATGTATGTGTGTATAGAGTATACATAACCTATATCACAGTATATACTACATGCCATGTGTATATATACACGTGTGTACACACGTGTATATATACACATGTGTACACACACATATATACATGTTTGTATGTGTATATGCAATCTCCCATCTCCATGCCATTACAAAGCTGTACCCCATGTCTGTCATTTTCTCCCACTTCACTTCCTCCTCTTGGAATCACTAGCTCCTTTCCAAGTTCAGCTCAAGTACCAAATGCCAGAACTTCTGACAACCCCTTCCCCTTCCCCAGATGTCAGCATCATTTCCCAACTAACCAACAGAATATGACTTCAAATTTATTTTGCATGTTACAGCGTTAGTGTGTGTGTTTGCTTATCTACGCACACATTGTTCCCCGCGAGAGGCTTCTTGAGGACAGAGACTCTTTCACTTCGATCCTTGCTGCCTTAGAACCTAGCGCAGGGCCTGACACATAGTAGGTATTTAAGAAATGCTAGCTGGATCACATTGAATTAAACCCCTGGCTACCAGATTTTTCTCCTCTTTAAAACAATATACATTATTTGCTTGTGATTTTACAGTTTCCCCTGAGACCCGGGAAAGACCTTAGCTTAAAAAGACCACAGCCTCCCATTGCATCTGGGGCCATCTTCAGTCGTCTTGACCTAAATCTGACCACTGGACCCAGATGGCGCTGGGAGAGAAAGTGATGCTAATGACTTTGTATAGCCCTCCCTCACTTAAATCTAATTCACTTGTAAGTCAAGATATCACTTTCCTGATGTCATGGTCCTCTTCGAGAACAAAGGACAAACAACAACAACAATAGTTTCATCCCAGCTGGTCTCTTGGGGAAGGGCTGGGGCTGGGGTTTCTGGTGAGGGGTGTTGCTTTGCTTTTTGGTCCAAAATGGAAACCAAAGAAACGGCTTTTGGCCATTTACTGAAGTCTCTTTTCCTGTAATGAGCAGCCACCTGGATTTTCTGCATATCAAATATCTCCAGCAGGGGTGAGAGCCCTTCTAAAGTGGATTTTTACAAGTCACTAGGTTGTGCATTTCCTATCCATCCCCCTACTTCTAATGCAGCTGCATCAGTCTGTCATTAAACTGAAATATTTTCATTCAGATGATTTACTATGCAAGAGAATCCATTCATTTGTGCCCCCTCTGCACCCTCTTCTAGACTTGCTGTTCTCAGGAACCGCAGATGGTCTCAGTTTACTTAGTTCTTAAGGGAACTGCAGGATAAGATTGGGGAGTTAATCGTGAAGGATAAAAACAAGGAAATTTCCTGTTATGACAAGATATGATAATGACCCAGCTACAAAGGGGCCAAAGGCTGGGCTGCCGTCTTCCTCTTCTCAGCTGGGTCACAATGAATGCTTCCCTACCCACCCACTCTTGCATCAAAGTCAACAGATTCATTTTAACAACTATGTGTCTGTCACACACTGTGCTAGTGAATGAGGAGACGACAATGAAATAACACACTGTCCCTGCCCTGAAGGTTCTTAAAAATTAATGGACGGACAGGGAATCTTTAAGTGTAGTGTGTGTATGGGGGTGGAGGGGTACACATGAGGAGATACTGTATGTATAGACATGTATACATTGTACACAGACACGATACTTTCTTAATTCATGGGAGAA